AAATTTCCCATCTATATATTCCCTTTCAACCATTTGGATAAATCCATTTTTTGAAAAGTATTTTGGGTTATATTCAAAAAGTTTCTTAAATGGAGAACGAACACGAGAACACCATATTTCTGGTGTTTCACCATTATACCTATATTGCAGGTTGTTCAACGCCTGCACTACTACAGGACTCAAACCAGAATAGTAGTTAGTTTTAACCATTTTGCGGGTATAATGAAATTATAGCTGTTTTAGTGATTTATAGCGTTTTTAGCGATTCTTTTATCATACTAATGAATATCATGATTCAAATTTCTTCCTTTGAAGCTATGCTTCTCCAGGAGTTTCTGCCCCAAAAAATATTCTACTGTTAAACTTTATTCACAATGGATTATGACGAAAAATGCGTAATAGGATAAATAATATGCGCACTATAGTACCGTGGTAACAATTTTATTTTTTATGTTTGCGCAGTGGCCAGTGACGTCCTTCATTCCAATGCATCACATATCGTACTGAAATACCCCGGGTATAATATAAAATATCTGGTTTAAAAATTATATGATACCCATGGTATAATTTTACCAGAATTAAGAATTTTATAACCGGGTCTTATAACATCCATAAACGCGTTAAAATTACAAACCCGATATGGGCAAAATTTTATTAAATGCTTCATTGATAAGCAGATGTCTAAATATTAAAATACTGCATATACAGTACACCTCCAAACATGAAAAAATAATTGATGCCCTTTTCAACTTGAAAACTTTATTATACATAATAAATCGCAAGAGAATAAATTTTATTTTAGAATCATGTTTAAAATATTTTCAATTACATTAAATGTGATATGCTAACACATTTGTGATTACCCTCTTCCTTTAGTATATTCCACTATATACCATTAATTTATAGAAAATTTTTTTGGCGTGAAATGCTCCTCATTTATTAGGCGTCCGTGACCCTCTTCTAATACCTCATAAAAAACATCTGTATTCTTCTTTGTCCTTGCTTTCCAGGATAAAATAACTTTTATAGCTGTTATAAGTTTCGAGAAAGCTTCCACAGTCCTTGGTACCTCGATATCCTGTAAGTCCATTGTTATAATTGTGTCTTCGAAAAGATATTTTGATGCCGATATAGTAAGTTGAAATCCGTTAGATTGTAAACAATATGTTTCGATATCTATAATTCTAGCCTTTGCAGAAGTAGGAAGCGAAAGATACAAAGCTGTTAGAATTACTTTTGTACAGTATTCTAATTTTCTCAGATCACCTTTCCTCTTTCCACATGTACTTAGAATCCCGTCTTCTTGTGCTAAGACTTCCGTGCCTAATGATCTAAGGAAAGCTTTTCCATCAAGCTTTGGTCCGCTCTTTCCAGCAATGTTTAGAATTTCTTTGAGTTTGTTATAGGATATCGATGCTAATTCTCCGTAATTAAACTTAATATCTGTTTATCTGAGAAAGGCATTCCTCAGCAAAGGTGTCCATATGTGTGAATTATATTCACGTTCGGACATAGCTTGGAGCAAAGTATCATTTTTATATAAGAAGTAAAAGTGCTGGAGAAGGTGCTGAACGTAAATTAAGTCATTTGATGCAGTAGAGTAATTGATTAAATTTTCGCCCAGGCATCTGCCTAAAGATTCCAAGTCTTTTATATGTTTAAACTTATCTAAAAACTGCATGACACCTTCCTCGCAATTGACTAGAAACTTATCAATTGTTCTTCCCTTGGTAAAATTTACTGCTTTTATCTCCTTGTCTTGAAGTTGATTTGCGATAAACTTTTTATAATCAAGGGGCAAATATTTTGAACAATCTGTATTATAAAAATTTATCACCCCAATTGATATGGGGCTATTCCCTGCCTCATCTCGTTTGTAGTCTAGCACGTCCATATAATCATAAATAAGCTTGTCACCCGGTAAAACACGCATTCGATATGCTTTTAAAGCATCACTTGCAATATCTTGAGTGATGTATTGCCGTTTTTTGGTCATTGGCCTTTTATTTTCAACTCGCTTTGTAGATGTGCTCGATTCGGTCATTTTATCCTTCGATTCATCAGAGTCAGAATATGAACACTCATCGGAAGTTTCGCGAAAAACATTGGTGAGCGAAACAGGTACTATTTCAGAATCGGAAGATAAAAGCTCATCATCATCTGATAAATAGCTCCTTTGTCTCTTTGATAAAGATGTTTCCGCAGGCGGGTCAATTGATTTTTTATTCTACAGAAAATAATCGTCATTAAAAAAATGCTCGCATAAAATTCAAGAAACATTATATATCAAATGTTTTATATTATATTCTAACCTTATTTGATAATGGCGATTTTTTCCGCTTTTGCCCATTCTGTGCGTATTGAGTAAGTTGAGTGTTAGAACAAGCAAATAAAATCCAGGACTCCAGGTTAAACGCCTACTCTAACACCTTACCGTTTTTCCGATATTCTCATGGTCATCATCATCTTCAGATAAATCGGAAGCTGATCGCTTGTGTAATTCACCTGACAAGATTTCCTTCGACTGTTTCATATAGCCCTGTGTCATTTCACTCTTCGCTACTGAGTTACTTGATATGTATGAGAGAACGTGAGTGTGGAAATTCCGCTCGCAAGCCTCCCGCAATTCTCTAAATACCTTGGAATCATTATATTCGATTAGCTCTTTCACGAAATTTACTATTGATTTCGGGGTAGAGTCGTCCTTTCGTATGAAGTTCAGACTGATATTCCACTTGTCAAAAATTTCATTGAATATTTTCGGCGAATCTCCAGAGTAAAGGATAGAAGTGTAGAAACGGTAAAATGACCATTGCCGGGCATCTGTGTCTGCGAAGAAGGTGTTGTTTTTGAATTTCTTTTTAAAGCGGTAATTTCTGAAGCTGGATTCAACTTTTGGGTCTGACATGTTGAATGTATGAGAAAAAAATTTGTCGCGTCCAAACACGTGTACCATTATTGATTTTTATTCCGGCACGTGACAAATAGTCAATCATTATTGCAGATTTTAGATATCATGAATCATGATGGAGATCACCATGTTCATGAGAATGAGCACCTCTAATCTGTCTTTCCGCAACTGCCACGCAACATGGTCCTGAGCTCGTAAGGCTTCAGAGTGGTTAGTTTACGGAGGGCTTGACAGCTCGGCAGAGGGGAATACCTTCCCACACCTGTTTACCGTGATTGTCACGCAACATGGTCCTGAGCTCATAAGGTTTCAGAGTGATTAATTTGCGGTGGGTTTGCAGGTCTTACACGGGAGTGTTTCAAGCAATCATTTTTTTCTATGCAGAGTGTATAATTAAAAAATTGAAAAAGGTGGTTTTTTTGGGTTTCTTAAGGAAAGATTTGGTTATTTCATTTCTAATTTTATTATTTATTTTATTTATTTTTCACAGAATAGCGAACATAAAATAAATAGAATGTATGATGCCATCAAAGAGGGAGGGAGTACGCGGATCCTAGGCCATTTAATGCGAGTCCCAGCATCAAGTTATTTCTTTGCTCTCTTTACATTTACGAAAAGTATCTATAACTAATTTGTTTATACTTCTATTGCTAATTATGTGATTCTCACCCCCACAGCCTTTTACTATATTAAATTTCGGAAATAAATTATCCCACCAATATTTACAGTATTTTTGTCTATCTATATCTCCCAAATATAATTCGCAGTGAGTCTAAGATCTTTGGGGGGAATTTTCGTTAATACGACAAATCCAATTAACTCACCAAAAATGGAATATTAATTAGCGATCACATAGAAAATTTCCGTGGCAATTGAGTCGATCAGTTACCCCAATTTCCATTTTCGTTCCATTCTAGCATCATGATCAGGGACACTCGCAAATCATTATTTACTAGAACTTTCGGGTAAAAAATGCATGACGATACACGGTTTATTAATAGAACATTAAAAATAGATGCACTGCGGTTAGCATTAGATCAATACAAAGGTGTAGCCAATTTTTAAA